AGTCCTCATTAAGCCAAGTTTCCGTTAAGCATATTAAGTCGTAATTATTCATTACGATATTCCTATATATAGTTGCTACTTTAGTCCGTAAGCCCCGGACGTTTTGGTAGTATATATTATATTTTTTTATGTGAGTGTTTTCTTAACAGGATAAGCACTAAAATAACGCGGTAGGTAATAGTAGCAACTACAAATAACTTACGTTGAGGTATATTAGAAAATAATCTACTATTCATTAGGAGAATGCATAAATATTTCGCGATATGAGCATACAAATAATACACATAAGTATAAGCAACGACCCGCGAGCAATGAAGTAAAAGTTTTAGTGGAGTAATAATAGTTAATCTCTTACACTCTGAAACTGATGCTAAGATATGACATATATGAAATTTATAGTAAATGTATATTGTGTACCCTAAACGGCAGAGCAAATGATTACCTGTTACAGTTACCACGGTGCAAGAGTTACTGCAGGTTAATATAAGTATTATTAACTTAGTGAATAATATACAAAGCACACAAAAATAATTCATATATGCGTATACATAATAATAAACAATTATTCGTAATCTATAAAACAAATAACATAGCACAAATATAACATGCGAAATGAAATAAAATGCGGAATGCAAAAATCTAGGATATGCGAAAGAAAAATTAAAAAAGGGTATTATGGAAACTAAGCAAGTGAGATACAATATGCAAAACGTTACGTTAAGTACAACAGCATAATGAGCATAATAGAAATAAAAATAACAAACACAGGTAGCAAGAACATGTCCTTTCGTTACGCCAATAATAGCGAGGTGCGAGTACATCATTAATGAATAGACGATACCAACGCTTCTCAAACTTTGCGTTTGCACAGCAAGTAAACTTAACAGTAACTTGTGAATCCTTAAACTATTTTTCTTAAATCCGACTCCGTTTTTATTATAAGAACAGGTGATGTTGTGCTTTTCCGTACTAGGATTTTGCAGTTCTTTACCCAAACGTACGAAAAATCCCGCTCCTTGGCCAAAGACTTTGTTTTGTTTAATAACATTTTGTTTTCAAGCGTTAAATGGTCGTTGATAAAGATTCTGTTACTACCATTAAGACCTATATCCAACGGCGTTAGGGATTTACATTTTCTCGCTGCTGCAACAAAGTTGTCTCTGAGATATCGATTGTGCATAGACACAATTATGTTTTTGTTATTTTTATTATTACGAGAAGGAACCCTAGCAATGTAATTAATGTTGTTATCACTAATATTGATATCGATTTTGGTTGCTATTTTTGATATAATAGTAAAGAGATTTTCCGTGTTAGTTATAGGAACTCCTTTGATTTCAATGTTGTTCAACCGTGATCGCTGCTCCCCATCATTAAAAACAGCTTCCAATTTTTGCAAACGCTGTTCTAGACGGGACACATCTTCCTTGGTCTTCTGAAGGGTTTGAATTTCACGATCCACCTCGGCTATCCTAGCTATAAGTTTGTCAACTGAAGCGTGAACGTAGTCTAGCGAATCTTTCACAACCGACAACTCACATTTAATCGTTTTAAGATCAGCCAAATCAGCTTGAATATTTTTTACCGAATCCAGTAACTTAGGCATTGATGACATTTGTTCAGACAGTCCACGTAATTCACCACGAATACTACTTTCCTAATACTAACACTAGACTCACAAATTAAAGTGGTAATACCTCAAATAGTATTGTATATTAATAAATAAAATAAAAAATAAAAACAATATATGAGGCAATCCCCGTGTAGTGGCGAGTAAGAATACTCACTACCCCCATATCTTCCCGTGGGTGTCGTAAAAGGCGACAGAGGGAAATTGAGGCAGAGGATGGGCAGCAGCATCTTTCTGATAACAGCAAAACAACAATAAAAAACTGCGGTTGCCAACCCGCTCGCCAAGCGTCGCAACTATGGCAATATACCCCCCATGAAAGTAACGAAGAGACGGCCCCCAGTCCCCGGCGGCCCCGCAATTCCTGGCTACGGTGGTGGCCATGGTAACGGCGGGTCAGGGGGTGCTAAGAATCTCCGGTGGAGGTTCGGTTGCCACCTACTACGACTCGACCTGGCAACTTATAACGCTCGCACCCTGAGGACTGACGAGAAAATCCTGGAGCTGGAAGAAGAGAAGTTGCGCTGGAATGTCATAGGATTATCCGAAGTCCGAATAGAGGGAGACGACACGGTTATCCTCGAATCCGGCAATTTGTTCTATCATCGGGAGGGCGACCATCTGTCCCAAGGAGGTGTCGGATTTATCGTCCGCAAGTCTCTCGTTAACAACGTTGTAAAGATTGGGAGTGTGTCGACGAGAGTTGCGTACCTTATACTCAGAATCACCAAACGATATTCGCTGAAGTTCATACAGGTTTACGCACCAACCTCGGCACACCCCGATGAGGAGGTGGAGGAAATGTATGAGGATATCTCTAGAGCCATGCATTCCTCCAAAACCCACTATACGGTGTTAATGGGAGACTTCAACACAAAACTAGGCACAAGAGAGAACGGTGAGCTGAAAGTAGGGAATTTCGGAATATGGCAACGGAACCCAAGGGGCCAGCAGCTGGCCGACTTCATAGAGAAAGAGGGATTCTTTATGATGAACTCTTTCTTCCAGAAGCGGCCCCACAGGAAGTGGACCTGGTCGAGCCCCGACAGTTCCACAAAAAATGAGATTGACTTCATTGTGACGACTCGACGACAACTGTTCAGTGATATCTCAGTGATCGCGAGGGTGAAAACCGGCAGCGATCACCGAATGGTGAGAGGCACACTGAACCTAAACGTTAAGTTGGAGAGGTCACGTCTAATGAAGTCAACGCTCCGTCCCCCTCGTGCTCTAATCCAAAGTCCCGAAACCTTTCAGCTCGAGCTACAAAACCGTTTTCAGTGCCAAGAAGATTGCAATGCAGTGGACGATATGAATGACAAGCTCGTGGAAACCGTCCATGCGGTCGGAGCTAAGTTTTGCAAGACCCGCCGCAGAAGAACACAAAAACTCTCCGATCACACTCTTAATCTCATGGCTGTTAGACGGGATATGAAGCTGCAGTCTTCAGTAGAATTGACAGCATACAGGCAACTGAACAGACAGATCTCCAAATGCATGCGGCGGGACTTACGCAACATTAATACTGCTCGTATTAAAGAAGCGATCGAGCGGAACCAGGGCTCCAAAGTCTTTGCTAGAGATCTGTCTGCCAGGAAGTGTTGAAGCTGAAGACCGAGTGTGACAGCGTCGTTTCCGGGACACCTGAGATTTTGAGTGAGATTGAGAGGTTCTATGGGCAGCTGTACACATCATCGTTGGAGCCACACGTAAGTGTGAGCAACGATCCAAGAGCGAGTCTTATCCGACACTATTCCGAAGATATCCCGGACGTCAGTCTGAGCGAGATTAGAATGGCTCTCCAGCACCTTAAAAACGGCAAGGCCCCAGGCGAGGATGGAATTACAGCAGAGCTTCTGAAAGCGGGTGGAAAACCGGTACTTGAAGTCCTTCAGAAGCTCTTTAATTCCGTCCTCCATGGTGGCACTACACCGGAGGCGTGGAGCAGAAATGCAGTGGTCTTATACTTCAAGAAAGGTGACAACGCTCTCTTGAAGAACTACAGACCGATTTCCCTTCTGAGCCGCGTCTACGTGCTGTTTTCGAGAGTCATTACGAATCGTCTCGCGCGCAGACTTGACGACTTCCAGCCTCCCGAACAAGCCGGTTTCCGAAAAGGCTTTAGCAACATAGACCACACATATACCTTACGGAAAATTTTACAGAAGTCCGAGGAGTACAATTTGCCACTATGTCGAAATTTGGGCGGTGCTGCAGTCCCTTCAGCGATGCCAGGTTGACTATCGGTATATCGGTATATCGAAGTGCTGAAGTGCTTGTACAGTAGGGCTACGATGGCTATCCGAGTACAGAACCAGAGTACGAAACCTATCCAATTGCAGAGAGGTGTAAGACAGGGTGACGTGATATCCCCGAAACTCTTCACCGCTGCATTGGAAGATGTTTTCAAGCTTCTGGACTGGAAAGGATACGGTATTAACATCAATGGCGAGTACATCACTCACCTTCGATTTGCCGACGATATAGTCCTTATGGCAGAATCGCTGGAGGACCTAAGCACGATGCTCAATGACCTCATTAGTGTTTCCCAACGGATAGGTCTTAAGATGAACATGGACAAAACAAAGATCATGTTTAATGTCCATGTCACACCTATGCCGGTAGTTGTTGGGAGCACTAAGCTCGAAGTTGTTGACGAGTATGTTTACCTGGGACAAACAGTCCGACTAGGTAAGTCCAACTTCGACCGAGAGGTCAATCGACGGATTCAACTCGGTTGGGCAGCGTTCGGGAAATTACGGCACATCTTCTCGTCAGGTATACCTCAAAACTTGAAAACAAGACTGTACAACCAGTGCGTATTGCCAGTAATGACCTATGGTACTGAGACGTGGTCCTTCACTGCTGGCCGGATGAGGAAGCTCAAGGTCGCTCAGCGGGCTATGGAGAGGGCTATGCTCGGAGTTTCTCTGCGTGATAAACTTAGAAATGAGGATATCCACAGTAGAACCAGAGTGACCGACATAGCCCAACGGATTAGTAAGCTGAAGTGGCAATGGGCCGGCCATATAGCTCGAAGAACCGACAACCGTTGGGTAAAAAAAGTTCTCGAGTGGCGGCCTCGTACCGGCGGACGAAGTGTAGGGCGTCCCCCCACTGGATGGAGTGACGACCTGGTAAGATATGCAGAAAGTCGATGGATGCAGGTGGCTCAGGACCGTGCTTTGTGACATTCTTTGGAGGAGGCCTATGTTCAGCAGTGGACTTGTGATGGGCTGTAATGATGATGATGATGATGAGGCAATGTAACGCTGTGTAAGTCGAGTATCGAGACTGGTATTACTAGCTTAGGTATTTTCCTAGCGTTTGCAGAATGTATATACCACTTATTTTTAATTTCTAATTTCAGGAGTTGGACATCCCAAGGACAATAACCATGCTGCACCAACAGAGAGCGAACCTCATACAAAACGTGCACCAGTACAAGTTCCTGCATCAAGTGCTTCTGCATTATTTGAAACAGTCGCGCCTAATTTAGCTCCAGTGCTGATCAGGAACCGGTGAGCAGAATGACTTATATTGTGTTAAAACTTAGTACTGACTTGTAATTTTGTTGTTGTTTCGGTTCAAGTTATATCTAATACCACTATATATTGTTTGCAGTATTCTTGAATTGGTTATGTAAATTATTGTAGATATTATGTATAGTAATTATTTACATATATACAGTATTACTTATAACCATCGATTATGGCTTACTTAAGTAATAATTATTTCTACAACTGTCTTTCTAGTGTTATTAAGTGTAGAGAGAGAGAGAGAGAGAGAGAGAGAGAGAGAGAGCAACTATGCTTTTCTTAAATTGACTTCGATTTTTATAAGGTAGAGTTGCTTAAAATAAGGAATCGTCATCTGTCTCTTATTAATGTCATTAAGTAAAAGAGTAAGACCGTAGATATAACGTCTCTAGATTACTGCCTTTAGGTAAAGAGGGAGAAATTCATTTCAATGAATTCGGAATCCCTTCAGTTGTGGGGTCTGATTAATGCATGAGAGCCTCCGCATTTTATTACCACGTTTTTATTAACACGTTTTCGTGTCAAATTATGTAATTGATTTTAAACTAATTTCCCAATTAGCTAGAGACTTGAAATTTTGAACATAGCTCAGAATCGAATGGCAATGTAATAATATTAAGAAAAATAACCTGGTATAAAAAAAATAGATTTTTTTTTAAAAACCTATCCCAGTTGAAGACTTGAAAGACTAATGTATACCTATATATAATATTTTTATTTTAACTATAGTGGTATTAGATTCCTACTTGACAAATTCCCTACAGTTCAATGATATTTGAAAAGTATAGAAAAGTTGTAGCGTCTCGAAACTGAACCCCAAAAGTACTAATTAGTAGTTTGAAGTATAAACTTTTCTGTAACCTTGTCAGAAATTAGAGGCCTGTACCCAGCAGTGGGATGTATATATGCTATAACTATAATTATACTTAATTGCCTCGTTCGTCTAGTGGTCGTAAACGCGATTGCTGATCACGAGATCCCGGATTCGAATCCAGAGTCTGGCCGAAATCAGTTATTGGGTTTTTTCTCAAGGAAATTCTCAGTAAAGTCCAGTCGCGGAGCACGAAGAATTTCGTACAATGACCTCTTTACCTACTGACAGTGGTCGCAAACATTTTTGTATTTAGTGCGGTTTACATGTAATATTTGAAGGAGAAAGAAAATTTACCAACTTAGGAAATATAGTTATTATTATTATATAAATTATTTATTTAGATTTCATATTACAAGTAATAAAAATCTAGACAGGTATCTACTAATTCGGCAGAAAAAAAATCAAAAATCAGAATCCGATTCCTCTGTATCGGAATAACTGCTTTCCGAAGACATCTCGCCTGTCACATTTACCACAAACGAATCAACAGTTTTGTCTACATTATCATCTAGTCTAGCTAATTTCGATTCCTCTTTTTTTACGTGACTGATGCAATTTTACCATTTTTCTGCTGAAATGTTGCCTAAAGCCTCATGGAGCAGCTTTTTAACATCTGCCATCTTAAATGTTGTATTTTTTCGGGCCACATACCCCTTGACGTCTGCCCACACTAGTTCGATGGGATTCGATTCGCAATGGTACGGAGGTAATCTCAATACCTCCACACCAACTGCTTTTGCCAGCTCATCGGCAACGTACGATTGGTACTGAATCTTGACATCTTTCACCTTTTTCAAGAGCTGGACTTTTGTTTCCTTTGCCTCAAAAGAAATTTGCTTTGATGAAAGCCATTCTTGAATATCTATTTTTTTCCAACTAGTAACTGGAATTTTTTCCTGGCGTCTTGAGTGGTAGCTGGCATTATCCATGACAACCACTGCGTTTGGCTCAAGTCTCGGTAGCATTGCTTGAAACCAATGTTCGAACTTGGCTGCATTCATCGATTCGTGATAATCGCCTGTACCTTTGCATTCAAACACCAATTCCGATTCGGGCACCAATCTTGTTCACCTCCTATATGTAAAATAACTAGCCGGTTGCCTTTGGAAGTAGGATTCTTGGCATCCGTCGACAAACCCTCCAAAAATGCTTGTTTTCGTGACTGCACTTTAGTGTCTTCCCACACCTTGCCAACAGTGTGCCCTGAAAAGTAAATGAATAAACTAATCAAAGGTTTAAACAGTTAATAGCCGTTTAGGCGTGTAAAGGTGACAGACAGTGTTACTTTCACATTCATAATTTTAGTATAGATTTAAGTCAGTTAGAAAATAATAAAAATAAGTCTTACCCGCATTCACCCAAGTTTCATCCAAGTAATATATTGGTCGTTGTTGCTGTTGGTAAGTTTTCATATTTTTCAAATATTTGATACGCCACAATGCTATGTCATCTCTGTCGATTAACCCGTTAGTTCTCCTTCGTTTGACATACTTAAACTTCAAATCTTTCAGTAATTTATTCAACGATGACAAGCCCATGTTTGGTAAGGATTCGTCTGTATTTATGATATGTAGCACGTTTATTTGCTGTAGGTAACTCTCCTTTTAAATGAAAGCTGTGCACTATTCGTCTAATGCACGATTTATCGAACCCATCAATCATTTCAATTAATGAGAGTCGTTTTTTCGGTGAAGCAGCTGGCTTGACGGTATCTGTGTCGGTATATTCTTTTTAGATACGATATATGGCCGATTTAGAAATGCCCAAGATATCGGCTGTTTTGTCCTTCATATCTTTTTTTGAAGGATATTTATCAGCAGGCCAGGATTCTTTAACGTATTTAAACGTTAATAATCATTACCTTCTCAGATACACTAAAGTGTGACATATTTCTTTTCTTCCGCGAAAAAACAAACTCCTTGAATGGACGCGAGGTAGACGGCGCTGGTTCCATTTTAAAAGAGTGAATAAAACTTAACAAATTAACAAAACCACTTAACAATTAAAACAAGATAACAAAAACTAACAAACAACAACAAACTAAGAATAGGTAAATAACTGTGTCCGAAAACTGAGCGATCACTAACGCATCCCAAGATGGAATGTCGTTCGTTATTTAAACATTATTAATTACGTCAAGGTCAAGCAAACCAAGGACTGTTTGTCGTGTCTCAAGGCCAACCAAAACTACATTATGCAAACAAGAACAAACCTTATAGTCTCCAGTAAAAGGTTTACAATCCCTGAGGACGGCGGCCATTGCATCTGTGCGAGCGAGACTCATTGTATTTATGCGGGAGTGACAGAGACAGGTAATGACAGTTCAATGTACGAAATTCTTCGTGCTCCGCGATTGGACTTTAGTCGGAGTCAGGAAGTTGGCGGTGTTTCACCCCCGCGCCTCGGAAAGCACGTAAAGCCGTTGGTTCAGTGTCTGATATCTCTCCGGTCATGTCGGATTACCGTCCCATCGTGATATGAGAATGAGGGAATAGAGAGTGCACCTTTACGTTCTCAATTCGTCGGAATTTTTTTTTTAGTTATGTTCACCGATTACTGGAAGACGTTTGAACCGATTTAAAAAATTATTTTTTTTATTTGAAAGCCGGTGCTTCTCATGTGGTCCCATATACATTTGATCAAGGTCTGACCAATAGTTTTTGAGTTATCCTTAATAATTTGTATTGAAGTCGGTTGTACAACATTTTTAATTTTACCACTTGTAATATACCAATGTTTTAAATCGGAGACGCTGACTATTTTGTTGTAAATTAGCGAATCTATGAAGGGGACTGAAACGTCTGGCAAAACACAACTTGGTTTTCGGTTAGGAGACCTTGACGACTCTTCGTTTGAGTAAAATTTTATAATCTTTGCATGTGATTAGAGATTGATGATTGATGGGCTTATACAGTGGTCCAGTATAAATTTGGACCAAAGCTATGTTTAGATTTTTAAAACAATCTAATTATTCAATTCCTGCATAAAAACATATCTAGGTATCGTCTAATTAAAATTGTATGCGCTTCTGTTGTAGTTTTTTTGTTAGATTTTATCGCTTTTATCATGTTAAAATTAGTACAAATGCAAAAAGCTACTAAAACAAAATAGGAGGGCGTGCAGATGTAGATTCTATAATCTACCAAAATAAAAGAGAAAAGCGCGTACAGTTTTAAACTAGACAATCTCTACTTGTGAGCCTTGCCACGACTTCAGAACAATTTTTTTAAAGACGTTACTCTCAAACTAGGATTTTCTCGTGTATCGTTTGAAGAAGTTTAAACACATTAATTTCACAAGGACGAACATCCAGACCCGAAACAATTATTTGCAGGCCGTAACATTGTTAAGCTACTTAGCGTACTTTACATTTTATACTTTTTAAATATCATTAATTCAATCTAAAATAACAAAATAAACGTAACATTGAGATTTTAACTGACTGAAACACACAGGACCACCTTCGCCTAGTTTTTGTATATTTCTGTATTTATTTATTTTTTACAATTTTAATATTTAAAAACAAATATTATTTATGAACTATTGATGTATTAACTGAATGAAATTAACTATTGTATTATAATAAGATTTAATTTGAGAGAAGTATTATTGAAGCTCATAGAGACAGGGTTTGCTGTGCCTAATTATTATGAACTAAAACTAAAAGTTTTTATGATTAATTCACTTTAATCTATGGTCTGTTTATGGACCGTGTTAGGTATTAAGTGAGAACTATGTGCCTTGAAGTCAGAAATTACTCGCGATCTGATGTCTTATGTGCCTTTGTAATTTTAATTTTATTTTTATATAAGTCTTTGAGTGGTATATTATTAATGTGAATTCAATGTAAGTTTATTAATAACAAAATAATTTTTTTATGACTGCCCGTTCTGTCAACAAACTTTATGGTTATGCTGATCTCTAGTTCACAGTACGCCCTAAGTGTCGCCTATAGAATGCCTCATTACCAGTAAAAAGTGTCTAAGTTTTATTTTTAAAAAAACCGTCACCCCCACACTAGGATTTTCTCCTGTGTCATGGAGGCAGTTTACAAACATAAATTGCACAAGGACAAACATCCAGACC